TTTAATGCCTTGCGCCCTCTATGACAGATCTATGTTGCAAATGTCTAAATCCAAATTGGTGATTCATCTCAGCGTGCTCTAATAATGACAGCGTTCGAAATGTTGTACGAAAGTTTGTAACGCAAGCTAATGACATCTTGAAACGGCTTAGGTTTCCTATCTGATAGTAGAACCATTGCGATGTTTGTCTTTAAGGAAAAGAAACAAAGGTCCTGGTCTTCAATAGACTGACTGCTAAGTGGCCCAGTACTGGTTAAGCCAATTAATAAATTTTGTCAGTTGTACAGCTGAAAAACCTTGCAATGAAATGCAGCCTAACAAAATAAACAGCACAGATAATGCTTCTCTCTGTAAAAGCCATTTGGTTCAGGATCTCATAATACAGACCGACGATTCATATTTGAAAATTGCTCGGCGACTGGATCAGATTCGAACGAATCGCACCGAAAGTTTACACATCTGTATGGCGAAACCGTTGCAAAAGACCGATCGTCCAGAAGCAAGCGGGTTGGCAAATCTTGTCAACTTTTCGTAGCTCCGAAAATTTTCAGCTTCACCTCAAAGGCTTGAAAGCCCTGCGTTTGCTTCATTCTAAGCAGATGAAACTCGCATGATCAATGAATAGCAGTTGTTGCATAAGTAATCCAGGATGGAAGTATGTTCAAATAACTCGCTATAGCTCGCTAGAATCAGAATTTTCATTTCCAGAATAGCTGAGCATTTTTGTTCAGTGTCTGTCCAAATACCGATTTTAAACTTCATCGAGTTACTGAACACTGAAATCTTGTAATTTAAAAAACTTTTTTTCTGCAAAACTTTTCGAAAGACTGAGGAAATATCTGTAGATTGAAGGATGTCAAAAATGTTAAACAGATTAATTTTCAGGTCGAAGTTTTACGGCGATAGTCCAAGCGAGAGGCACGGTTTCTATTTAGACCCAGTTCGTAATCGGAGGAAAGTGCTGAGGCTTACAGATGAAGGAGAACGGAAGTTATCACCAATTCGGTTATTTGCTTGAGAGTTTTGTGATT